TTTTTTGTTATGCAAATTGCTGGATGACTTCTTGCAATTTGAAATATCTGCTAGGCCAGGTACTTTGCATTCTTTCAAATACTATATAGACTTGGTCTATTTATAGTGGTTTTTAAACCTTCCATGTTAAGAGAAACCTCCCAGCTTAACAAGAATGCTTTCTTGTTGAAGATACCAGTCATCTATGAGATTACTGTTTCACTGAACTAGATTTTTGTTTGATGGTTAATTGCCATGCCTGCAAAAAGATGTTTTAAAATACCTGAAGAAATGTACAACATATTTTTTTTTCTTTTTTCCCCCCAGTCCTGGCAATCCATTTTTAAATAAAGGAGACAAATTCATTGGGTCAAAATACAGAAAGGTATTATATCGCGAGTACACTGATCAGACATTTAGTACTCCCAAAACCAGAACAGAGGAGCAGCAGCACCTGGAAATTCAAGGTATAGTCATCATGAAGTTCAGTTTTGACCTGGGAAAAATGAAGTCAAACAGAACAAGATACTATTTGGACAATACTGAGTATAGTGCACACAAAGTGCTTAAACCTACAAGGAATTGCTACTTTTATTATGGTGCTTTGGGACTTGAGTCTCTACTTTAGATGTCTAACTTCAGCTACTCAGGTTGGCTCATCATAGTGAATGTCATTTTCTGTGTATAGTTTTTAGTTGAATTGCAAGCTAATGTTGTGTATTTGAATGCAACCATGTCTTGCTGTCTGCTCTAATCTTTGTCAAACCAAGTTAATCTTTCTTTCCAATTCAACAGGGCCACTGCTTATGTCAAATATTGGAGATAAAATTATAATAGTTTTTAAGAACTTGGCATCAAGACCTTATTCTATACATGCCCATGGAGTGAAAACAGACAGTTCTGTTGTTGCTGTAACTAACCCAGGTATCAAAGCATTCTTGTCTATTTCTAACAGAATATCAAGCCTTCGAGTAAGGTTTAGCAAGCTCTCATGTTAGGGTAGCAGGGAAGACATCATTTTTGTTTGTTTCTTTTGTTCTCACCTCAGGTTATAGTTGTAGAAAAAAAGTATTTCTACAATTAAAATGGCCCTGCTAACTATTGCTGTGCATCCTAGCCCTTGGCAGATCAGTAATTTGTTGATGCAGTGTGGCTGCACCTTTCATAAAAGGAAACAGATTTTGCAACACAGGGAGAGATTAGCTTTATGCTAGCTGTTATTTCAGAGGTTCCTCTGTGATCTTTACAAAAGATACAATTGTTTTTATTAAGTATAGTGAACTGGACAGTGCAGCCACCAAAAAAAAATAGTGTCGGCACAAAAAAGTCAGGGATTTGCAGAAGAGAAATAACAATAAGCTGGCCAGTGCAGTAATTGGGAAGAGGAAGTTCAAGACAAATATCAGCTATAGAGATAACATCTGTTTCGGGATGACCTCTTATAGGTCAGCACACAGAAAACTTCTAAAATTAATTTATATTTCATTTAGGTGAAACAAAAAGGTATGTCTGGAAAATTCCAAAGAGATCTGGTCCTGAGAGAGGAGATGCACATTGCATTGCATGGGCATACCATTCAACGGTGGACATAATTAAGGTAGATGATTAGTAAAATCTAAAGGTTTTTGCTCATTACTTCAATACAAATATACTTACAGCAAGAGAAGTTTGAAACTCTTTCAGCTTCCTCTGTCAAGTTGTTCCCCCCGTTACCATACCTCTAAATTTAAATATCTCTTTGAATAATGCAAGGAAGTCAGGGCAGAATTTCAGTCACAGCCCTTCATATTCTTGTTTCCTGGTTCTGCTGTTTGTATAGTTCACCTCACTCAGATTTCTGTCTTAAAGCTAACACTTTATAGCTTTCTCAATATCTAATCTGTCATGTGTGGAAAAAATAACACGCAACTGTGGAACATAAATCCAACATTTTTGTACAAGCCACCTGTTACCATGACTAATGATTTTTAATGTAAATTAAAGGATTCTTTCCATTGTGTCTCAGAAAGCACCAATAAAAAAGCCTCAAGAAGTGTATTTTGAATGGAAACCAAGTTCAAAATCCTATAAGTCTGAAAAGAATTTTGGAAATTAAAAAAGAAAATTAAAAAAAATAAAGAAAGGCAACAAATTAAAATGGAACAAATGTTTATTTCTGGCAAGAGAAGAAAAAGAGGTAGCTGCTCTTCACAGTACATTGAACTTGATCCATAGGTACCACGTAACAGTCAAGAAATAACCTTGTTTGTCTGGCTACCTTTATTCCCAGACGCTGACAGCTGTAAAAATAGGAAGATTCGTGTCTGGCATTAAAAAATGCTACTGTTTGGTCACATCACGTAATGATACGATTTTTCATTTGTCATTTCAGGACACTTACAGTGGATTAATAGGCACACTTGTGGTGTGCCATAGACATTACTTGCCATCTTTTCACACTAAAAAGAAAGTTCAATTCGCTCTTCTTTTTATGGTTTTTGATGAAAATGAGTCATGGTACTTGGATGAAAACATTAGAACGTATTCTACCAACCCACACCTTGTTGACAAAGAGGATGAAGAATTCCTCGAAAGTAATAAAATGCATGGTATGTTCCAATTTAGTTAATGTAAATCTGAAAACTCTATATAATTATGTATTTGAAAATACTACATATAAATTTGACTTTCTCGTCTTCTCTGAATTTTCAGTTCTAGGAAAAAATTCATTCAAAACTGAAACTGTTTTGGCACTGTTAGTGCCACTGAATGATTTTTTTTTTTTTTTTAATTTTTTTTTTTTTTAACCTATAAAAATGGTTCCATGTTGAAATTTCAGAGGGAAGTAATAAAAATACTTCAGGAGAAGGAATAAAAATTTAAAAATGACATCTGAAATTTTGATTTCATGTCAGCAAACAGTTGCTCTGGATAAGCTGGAAAGGCGATGTGCGTCCTGGTACCCTCCACAAAGAGCTGCAGGAAATGCAGATCTTTAAGAACTGCATTATAAGCAAGGGTGTACAGGAAAAAACTTTTAACTACATCTTGCTTTCTAGTTATATATGGAATACAATCAGACAATTCATAATATGCTGTCCACTTGTTTTGTTTTCATATACCATTCAAAATTGTTACTTTTGCCTGGCATTGGTTTTCAGATCTTGTATTCCATTAAAGCTTAGAGAACAACACTACACAAAGTTTTATTTATTTTCTGTCGTGCTCTTTTCCTCTCTTTAGCCATTAATGGAAAGGTGTTTGGAAATTTACATGGCCTGACTATGCATGTTGGAGATAAAGTAAGCTGGTACTTGATGGGAATGGGCAATGAAATAGACATTCACACAGCACACTTCCATGGCCACAGCTTTGATTATAAGGTAACAAGTCCTTTTCACTTATTTCTTGCTGGGTTAAGAATGAAAGCTATGGCAAATACCAAGGACTGTAATCTCCAGTGAAAAGTCATGTGTTACAATATTAAGCAGGACTTGTAATTTGACTGTAAAGTTTTTATGCCCCAAACCTGCGTATGACCAATATACAATATACAGAGTATCTGCCAGTAGCATTTGCTGAACAGTGACCTCACAAGATGCTTCGACAAGGGGGCTGTGAATTTTCATGGCTGTGGTAAAACAGGAGCTGTAGTTTTCCTTCATTTCCACCTAGTTGCTAGTTTATTAATCCTTTAAGCATGAAGTGGATATACAAAATGATGTTTCTGTAGAAATGATATGCAGTAAATATCTCTTCACTCAACTGTAAAAAGTGTGGTGGGAATATGCCTAAAAGGTAGCTTAAATTACTGCCACCTGGTTAATGCCACACTATTTAACTATTGTTTCTTCTTGTCCTGAAGCAAACAGAGGTTTACCGGGCAGATGTCTTTGATCTATTCCCTGGAACATTTCAAACTGTGGAAATGACCCCGCGGAACCCTGGAACTTGGCTATTACACTGTCATGTTACTGACCACATCCACGCGGGCATGGAAACAACCTACACCGTGCTCCCAAAGAAAGGTAGGAGCTTTTCTAACTCGATGTTCATTATGTTAAAAGATGCAGAATGGGGATCACAAGCATACTCAGAACCAGTTCTGGCATCCAGCAATATTTCATGGCTTAATATTGATGTCTGGGGGCCAGAATTTTGCAAGCTATCCAATCATATTTGCCTCAGTGTTGCTGCTCAGAAAACAGAAGAAGCTAAAAGACTGGATGTTAACTGACTATTGCTTCAGCTTCCCATCAGTGAAATAAAAATGACAGACTTTTATTCAAAAGAGTATTGTGTACCCAAAAAGTGCCACTAGTGTCAGACTCCCTCTCAGTCTTCATTTAAAATAAGAACAGTTAGCAGATAAACCTGAAGTCATATTCCCTAACAGCTGAAGTACTAAAACACTGAAACTGCGGTTTTCTTTCTAAAGGACATATTTCAGCTTTACAGACACAATTACCTTGATTTAAAAATATTTAATGCGAAAAAAAAACCCAAATCTTACATCTTGAAGAATTTGGAAAGTTCTTGTTTCAACAGTTAATCCAGTTTTAAAAGCAACACTTTTCTGTACTCAAAAGACTGAGCATAATAGGTATGTATTGCAGTTAACTGACAGAAAGAGAACAGCAAGAACATCTCAAAATATGTGTATGTATATACACACACACAACTATATAATGTACGTATCTATTACTAAAGATGCACATTGGAATGTTAAACACAATGTAGTTCTATTTTATAAACCATTGAGATTTACAGAATACATAATAAAAAGGCTGACGTAAGAGTACACAGAAAGAGATGCAGAAACAATTTTAATTTGTAGTAGTAGTATGTTAGATTTTTTACAACCAGCCATCTAAAGTGCACTAAAATATACCCTTCAATGCATTTTAAAGCTATTCTAAAATCTACTACACAATACCTTGAAGACAGTAGGACTTATGGCTCTAATTTTCCATTCTGTTTTCCACATGCAGACTATTATTCTTCTGGTGAAATGTGTGTAACAAAAGCTATTATTTTCTCCCTTACAGAAAAACAGTGTTTATTACCAAGATTATTTGATCAGTTCAAGAGTAAAGGTACATGGGCCACACTAGAATGATGAAAACATTTTACCACAGTGATTCTCCATGGTTTACCTTCAGCAAAGCATTTCCTGAGAAATACCCTCTCCTGGACAATTCATTTCCATGTGTGTTTTGGAAGATTTCATTTGGTGGCCCATGGCTAACAAATGTGCTGTAGGCTAAGACAGCTGATTGGATAAAACAGCTTCTAAGTATCTTTTCCTCTAAATAAAAATAGTAACTTGCAATCTAAACGTATTCTAGGTGATGCCTAGTGCATGTTATTTAACTGCTGAGGGACACAGAAGAGTGAAATGGAATGTACTTTTTTTTAAAAAAGATTGTAAACAACCCTATGTAACAGGAAGGACTGTTTTGGGTATCTGCTGTCACATTTTACTGGTCAAATATACTAGTAGCTATTGCTTTTAAAATAGGAATTTAGTTATCACTTTATGCATAGGTTCACACTTCATATATACACACACACACACACACTATCATGTAACTGAACACCTAACAAAATAATTTTTTTTATTTCCATTGAATTATTTTCTCATTTTATCCAGTAACATCTTTCAAGATGTTTAAAAGATGCACTGGCTTGAGGGATCATGGTTGCACAAGATGTTTTTGGTTCTCTGTTACGAAAATAATTACAAGACAGACAAAGTTATGCTGAAATAAGCCTGATGAAATTCAGACAGTGAAGGGCAAAATTTGGTGACGGCTGCACCTAAGAGCTTTGTTTTGTTGCATCTTAGACAGGTCCTGCAGTGGAATCATTTTTTTGCCAGTTATGTAGGGCAGGAGTAGGCAAATTAAGCATTTCTTGACAGATGGAAGAAGCAGTATTAGTGCATGACTGATACTGGTCAAAAATGAAAGCAGTAAGAGCAGGTATTGTTGGTGCCATCCGTTGTGTGTTTGAATAGCCCAACTCTACCTAGACCTGTGCCAAACAAGAGGGAAGGATTTATGGGACAGGCAGGCAAGCAAAATATTAGGCTTTACAGCTACTAGAACAAATGAAATTGCTTTTCTGTAACAAGCCTAAATTGCTTTATCATTTTTTAAGGTAGAAAGATTCTACTGAAACCAGCATAATCCTTACTCGTAAATCAGATCACTGACTTTGGCTGTATCAGTAATGTTACAGAGAAATGATACTATTTTTTTTACCTTTCTCTTTTTAATATATTTGCATTGCAGATGATCTCTTCTGACTGTCTTCTACATTAAGTAACTTTACAGCTTTTGTAAAAATGGATTTCACAGAGCAATGCCAGCTAATTAAGCCTTTAAATGGTTATGGAATCATGGAGTCATCCTATTTGTGGTAGATTCTCAAAAAAACAAACTGCATTAGTAAGAAGGTCATAAACATAGTAACAGTTTATTACGACTGAATTACAGCTGAAGGAACAGTAGGATAGTTTCTGCCCAAAAGACAGACAAACATCAGTACATACATGCACAATTACCTGAGAGGTTTAACAAAACAACCCAGAAGTAGTAAGAGTTTTCAGCTGCATCTCTGGCCTAGGTATACTTCAAATACTTTCCCACTAACTGAGTACAACAGAAGAAAGAAAATAAAGAGCAAGCATGCAGTAGTCCGTATCTTCCATGCCCTTGAAAACACTTCGGTTTCAATTTGACGCTCTTTGTCATTACGACTTTTTTTTGTGAACTGCTAAATGAAAACATTTTCAGTGCAACACTTGCATGGGTACGTAATTAAGATGCCAGAACAGCTGACTGGGTTTACCAACTGGAATTCAAGGGAATGTCTATGCTGCAAAATGAAGTGGGGCCAAATTCCACTTGGAGGAGTAAGGCACATGCTTTTTACTCACACAGTTAGACCTCTGCCTGAATTTAAACTCCTCCTCCCTGGTCAGTGATCCAACTAAGTAACGTAGAATAAGTCTGACTCTCTGCTTTACTTTTGCTGAACATCAAATGTCCAATTGTACTGTACAGTCTGTATTTTTTAGCTGCTTTGGCTGTAAGTTCACCCTCCTTGAGAGGACATGTGATCCTGCCTAACAGTTGAAAAGTCACTTTTTCACCAGTCCAGCTGACTGCCATTCAGTTCTACCTGGCAGTAATTCTGGTTTGTTGACCTTTGTCGGAGTGTACTACTATTAGCTTCAAAAGAGTTGCTTTGCCTCAGACAATAGCTGTCACTCAATAGTTCTCATAAGGTTTCAACTGAGAAATAATGAAAGGTGATTTATGTGAGGGGAGTCCTACAGTACCTTATATGTAGTTTTGTTTTCATTTACTTTTTTATTCTGTCACATTCTTTGTATTTGAGTGCATAGTAGGCTTCCGTTGTTTTAGGTCATCACCCTCCTCTGGCTGCAGTGAAGAAGATGTGGCAGGAAAAATGCTGCAGTTCCATCCTCTGGTAGAAAACTGAGGAAATCTCTTAGTTCCAGTTCCATTGCAACAACTGATAAAGTTTCTGCTCAGAGCACAGGAAAAAAAATCTTGTTTAAGTATTTTCAGTTTAGTAAAAAGAAATGAAAAAATATTAACATCATTACTAACTGAAGTCATCAAATTATCTAAATATTGCAACTGGAATGACATTTGAGACACACCAATTTGGGAGCAAATACAACTGCAGGAAATCTCAAAAACAAACTGAAATGATGTCTTAGGTTAAAACTATACCTCTGCCTTGACTCAGCAGGTCTAAATGGGGCACTAATGCTTACAGAAATCTGATCTAGTACTTCACATGTTTTGTATCAAATGCAAAGGAAGCCCTGAAATCTGTACTAGTACTCTATCTCAGCACTATCTATCTGTAAAATGGGATGTTCCGAGAGCAGCCTCTCGGACCAGACCAAGCCGTTTTAACATTATCTTCTCAACTGATTACAGCACAGCAACCACATGAAAACAGTGCTACCACTAGAAACTAGAATTTTATGACAGGGCATGGGGACCTGTGCTGCTGTTTTTCTGCTCTCTGGCATTACACTGATTTTAAAAAAATACGCGCTTTATTCAATCTCTGTATTCTGTCAAAATAAACACACTGGCCCCTCAGCTATACATGGTATTATTAATGTCCTGTTAATGTACCAATAGGACTACATCAACTACTAGGGTTTGTTTCTTCACTTCTAACAGTAACACATTGTGGGGTTTTTCACTCTGTGACCTCATCATCAATACACACTTAAGTGCTCACTGGGTTATCAACAGGAGCCTGTTAGCTGTCATTGCATAGGACCATATAGTCGCTTAGCCTAGGACAAAACCCCAACCATTAGCTCTATTTAATAAGTTTTTAATGGTGTCTGTTCTTGACCTATATGGAAACAGTATGATTCCAACAATTTAACTGTTTTTAAAACAAAATGAATGCTATGATTTTTATATGAGGCAACACACTGTACTTTGCAGAATGCTGTGATAAGAACTAGAAAGCCTGCTGAGCTGTATTAGCTTTAACTATAGAAAAAGGCTCCCTTTTCCTTCCAAATTATCATATCAGTAGTCCTTAGCCTGAACAGTGTTTAGAATGTCAGATGACATGCAAAGGCTTCTGGAGTTGAGTTGCAGTCCACTGATTTACCTTTCAGTGATGAAATAAAAACAGGGCAGTCATTTCCAGTAAGTCTAGCTCTCTTGCAAAATTCAGGAAGTAGCTTGTTCCACCATACAGCCTAATCCAGAAAAAACACACAGCAAAAGTGTACATTAACAAAAACTACAAGTAAGAGTATGAAAGACCTGTTAAATATACACTGAGCTAAGCTCAGATGTGTACAAATACACGTAGGTTGTGATGAACTTGTTAGTTTACACACTGCTTTGACATGCAGTGGTTTTGCACACATTGTATGTTTCAATTTTCAGTCCCAACTTTTTCTACTCAAAAGCTTTTACACAGCGCCCCTTAGTGCCTCTCTATATAAAAGGTTATAAGCTAAAAATACCACGTAATTGGCAAGACTAATGCAGTCAGAAAATCAAGGATTATCCCTCCAAACAACTCCATGCAAAGTGATGAACAGCATTACTATAAACACTGCTCTGTCTCCTAACCTAATCTGTCAGCTTCCAACACCTGTGGTAGTGAATTATGAATTTTGTTGATAAGAATGGAGAGGGAAAGGAATTTCCTTTTTTAAATGTGGTTAATTATTTTCTTCTACCTGAATTCAGAGGCTGTACTGCAGCATCCCATTCAACTCTAACTAACGTGGAAATAATCAAAAAAACTATTTTCAGATCTGACTAAAAAGCACAGATCTGGTTTTGAAGGGGGTTCTATTCTAGTATGGCCATCTGGTAGATGATCACCTTTGGTAACTCTGGCCAACAAAACCATGTACAGTTAATTGAGTAGCTGTGATGGGCAGTGGAGTGAACTTCTGCACTTGTGGAACACTGGAATAAAATCAGACACAAAATAAAACCTCTGTAGATGCCCAAGTGGAAAATGGGCCATAAAGAACAATCCACTAGTGCACCAGTACCATTCTGAGGTTATAGTATCAGAAGATGTCACTAGAACACAGGAAGAACATATTTAAGTGTCTTTATTTGAAGGACCATGTTCTTTTATCAGTTATCACTAAAATGTCACATTATGCAACACTGTCAAACAATTTAGAACACTGATTAGTGAGAAACTAGCTAGTTCTTCATTTATGATGGATAAAGAACATACTACTCTCCCATTTTAAGGCACTCTGCCACATGAAAAGACTACGCTTTAAATCTACTAGTCACAGAAGAAACTGGGAAAAAATGAATGCTATTAAAATCAGTGGGAACTGAGATACGGAATTTAAATGCCAAGCAAGAAGTTGAAAGCAAGCTTAGCAATTTAGTTTGTTTGAAGGTGATCTATTTGATCCATCCAGAGTCCATCTGTATGCAAAAAAAAACAGAAAAAAACAAACCAAAAAATACTGAACAACTTTAACAAAAGTAGCTCACCCGATTGTCACCTTTCAGCTCATGCTGAGCATATAATACAGCTGCATCAGGACACCTTTCGAGAAGCTGGTCAATGGCTTCCTCATATTTGCCTAGGCGGGTATTGCAGAGAACATGGATGGTGAGGCCAACATTGCCATCCTCTGTCAGAGGCTCCAAGACAGGCAGAGCTGAAGCTATGTTGATTGACTGACTACATAGAAGAGACTGCAGGCAAGAAGAAAACATATTGTTTGGATTTAAGACAAACTTTGCAAAAAATATGCTAACTATAACCTTAGAACAGAAGCCCTTACTTATTAGAGTAATTCTGAAATACTATTTCCTTTAATAAATGCTACTGAAAACCAAGAAAGCTAGTTCAGAGTGTCCTGCAAATATAATTATTGTCAACATATCTCTTCAGTATTTTTTTCTGCTATCATTTTAATGGGACTTTTAGTTCAACTTGGATAACCTGGGGGGGGGAGAGAGGTAGGGGGAGGAAAAGGGGAGTCTGCTCAAAAAAGTTGTTTACACATACATGAATATTTGCAGAATGGATCTAAACTGTAAACGGTAAGATTTAAAGGTTTCATACCTGTAATTTTGAGATATCTTCACTGTAATCTTTAGCAGATGGAGATCCCAGTGACATTATGAATGTTACCCACGGGAAAATCAACCCAAAATGATTACAGGAGTTTATCTACACAACAAAAAGTCAAGTTTCAATAAAAGAAGTATTTCTGTTAATGACAGTTCCATCTGAAATGCACCACAAGTGAAGAAAATTTAGAATAACATCTACTCTTTCTTCTGGTTCATACAATTTAGTAACAGATGAACTGGAATCTTCTATTTAATTCTGTATTTCAGATTTCCCATTCAGAATACTTTAAAATTCATCTTTCACACACTTTTTTCATTTAGTCAGCTTTGCAAAACTGCAAACACTCCACCTGACAAGCGGCCACCATTTCATTTTAACCCTTATTTCTATCCAGAGCTGAGGTTCCAGTAGGAAGTATATTTGAAATGTCCCCAAAGAGCAGAGTCCCCAGAGCCTGCAATACCTATCATCTCGTAACTGCACACTAACTTACTTGCTTTCAGTCTTGTTTCTTTTAAGAGATAAACTGTCCAGAACTAAAATACTAAGGGTAGTATATGGATAGAATTTGGAGGTACAGTGTGGTCCTAAAACCTCCTCTGAGTGGTGTACTTACCAGATCCTCTGTTGTTTTCAGTGGCTTAGTCTCAGGAAGTTGCTTCTTCAATATTCTTGAAACATACTGAGAAGTAAGCCTCAGTAAAAGCTCCTGAAGTATTTCTTTCTGAGAGCACACTACAAGAGCTTCCCAGAAATCTACCAAGAGCTGAGGAATAGTGCTTTCTCTGTTACCACACAACATCTAAGAATAAAACCATTAGAAGACAGCAAGTTAGCACAGAGTATGGTAATTATTTAGCAGCAGAAGTTAGAAGAGGCAGGAGGAACAGTTTTTCACTTTTACTAGAATTTTGGTTCCTTTTTTGTCTTATCATTCTCCATAATACAGTGCTAGGCAAAGTAAAAAGTTCATGGAATGATTTTAAGCTAATCAATTCTAAATGATAGATTTATTTTCCAAGATTTACTCCACTGTCAGAAATGCCAGCACACTGTCAGCAACTATTCACAGACAGCTAATTTGGAGAAATTTCTATATGCCAACAGCCAAGCAGGTGCCTTCAAAAGAAGACTCTTAAGGCCATGATAAGAGATTCCGTGTAGCTCAGTTGGTTGTAATGGTAGGATCCACAAGTGAGATGCTTTAAGGACTGGCATGACAATGAAAAGCATCATTACTTGGTTTCCAACTGGCTTTAAATAATAACACTCATTCCAATTTGAGCTTCATGACTTGGTATTTTTGATACTGGTTATTTCACAGTAGCAGATACAGAACTGCAGAATACCTACATTGAAGAGTACATGATTTTAATCCAAACAATGTTATTCATTGTAAATAAAAAAGGTCTATTCCCAGTCTAAATAAAGAAAACTTCAGTGATACCAGAAAACAATTCTATTTATCCTTCTTATAAACTGCAGAGACTCCACTCTTGTTTCAGAAATTGAGACAGAACATTCTATACCTTCATAGTGAAGTCTGAGTCTTTAGAATTATGTTTCAATCCTAATGATTTCTTCAAAAGGAGCTTATGGAATGATTTATCTAAATTTTGTTAAATGTCACTAGCCTTAGGAAGCCAAACTACTAGGAAGTCTTTCAATGGCTTCAGGGTATTCTGACATCAGGGTATTCTGCATTGAAATGACAAGGTCAAAACAAAAAACTTCAATTTTTTTTTCTTGATTTAACCAGTATTTCTTTCCAGAAGGTCCAGTTTCTGACTCTGTAGGCATCTATCATGAGCTCATCTCCCAGTCCTCATGTCCCTCTTTCTGAAGAAATGCTGAAAGGTGAGTGAAGGGGCAACCAAGGCTGCTTTGCTTACCCATATCACCATTATGAGAAAAATAGAAGCAAAAAATGATCACAGGCCAACCTTGAAAAAGGTATCTGCTTCCTCTAGTTCAATTTTACTGTTCTCATGTAAAGCCACAATGGCAGCCACCAGCAAACCAGGTTGCGTCTCCTTCAGGTGAACAGCAAATTCAGTTGGCATAACTGTTCCTTCCTTCCACTGTCTCAAGAGCTTTGGTTGCCCGATGAAGCCACAACCCAGTACTGTCTACAAACAGTCAGATAGAAATCATGTAAAGAATTCAGTCCGCATGACTTCAACTCAGCAAACACAGTATTTCCTCAAGCAGTGAAGTTTAGACAGATGAAATGAAGGAAAGTCAGGGGAAGGAAATAAATCCTTTCTACAATTTACAGAATAGCTCTCCAGAGACTGAGCTCCAAACCACATGCCAGAGCAGTGACTCTGAGCAAGAGGCCAGTTACCTGAACACTGAAAGTAACATGCTGTTGAAATGTGGAGACAGATCTCACTATGAAATCCAAGACACTCAATACACACGGAGTTGTACAAAATCACTGGCTGAAACGTCAACAGACTACTTTGCTACATTTCAGTAGACTGCTTTTGCTATCGATTTTTATTTTGAAAATACCCCTGAGACAATGATCAAAACATGCAACAGTAAGTTGTTTCTGGGCATCTGAGTGCTTTTGAAGGTGAGCATGACAAGATACTATTTCCACTTAGAAATTTTGACTTATTACTATTTCCACTTAGAAAGACAGTAGGCAAATGATGCCTAAGCAGATTAAATGAACTATACAAGAAATATAAGGCAGACCTAGGAGGAAAAATAAGATTTCATCCTGCTATGCAAACTATCTTTCCTTTCTTTATCTTTCTGAAACTGTTATTTTTTCTACTTTGTAACAAAATGCTTTTTAAAGGTGAGGTGCAACAGAACATTCTTTGATAGGTCAGCTTAAAAAGAAGGAAAAAAAGCCCAACAAAAACCCAACACCCAAACACCAACCACCTTATTCTCTAAATCACATTCATGCAGCAAAATGTGGAAGTTTCTTTTTGCTCACAACATGAAAATTTCACTGGATCACCCTGCAAAAGCAGGTAGTGCTGAATATCACTTGTGAAACAGCACTCCAGAGCTCCCACTCTGCAATTCAAAAACTGCTAACTTTGAAAGCCCTCCAGGACTTCTACTGAAGTGTGGTATCTAACTTTGGAACAGCTATCAGTTTAAGAGTGTTTAGACCTCCAGTACCTCAGCCTCAGAAGGAGTCTGTATTTCAAGCTCTTGTCACCTTTTAATATTCAGCAGTCCTGACCAACCTTAACAAGAAGTAATTTACAGACTGGTCTCAGTCTAAAACCACATGTGAACATCTGTGACAGAGAGTGCTTCACTAACATTTTTGCCCCACTGATGTGGAATTCATTGATAGCAGTGCAGTAGGTTCTGATCTGATCTTACGAAGGGTTAAGTGCTATGATTCCATGTAACATGGGAAACTGTATACAGAAACTTTAGTTTGTGTGCACCATGGACATTGTGCTTCAAATGCAATTTTATAAGGGCTGTTTGCATACATTTTTTGCATGGGCGTATCACATATTAATTACATCTACAGGGGTGTAAAAATGCTACTATACAACCCTGCCATAGTGCTGAAGAGCACTGGCTCTGCAGAGCTTGTGCTACACCCCAGAAAACAGCATTTAATTTAGCAAGAATTAACAGCTTCAAAACTTTCACTTACTTGGTAAGGCTTTGCCAAGACTACCATACCTGCAGGGTATGCAGTGCAGTCCCAGCATATGCCAGCCCTTGATTCTACTGTAATTAATTGCAAATATTCAGTGGAGGCTCTACAGCATATCGGGAGGAAGAGTGACTGGAAGTTTCTTTACTGTAAGATACAACTTAAAGCCAAATCTACTGATCTGAGCTTTGCAAAATGTGAATAGCTCATGCTTTCAACATACTTTACCTCCTTACAGGAGTCCATCTCATGTTCATACATCGTCAGGTCTCCCATTTTCAGAGCCATGAAGGCCTTAGTAAGCGTCAGGACCACTGATGGCATAATCTTTTCTACTTTCTGAAGGTACTTCACAGCTGTCACTGGACATACATTTCTCATGCAGGGGCTGCAGAGGATATGAGGCAGCTGCACAGGGTCAGCAAGACAGAATATTTGGAGAACTTTATTTGCTGATTCCTGTAGAAATGAAAACCATTTGACAGTTTAGACCTTTCTAGATATACATTCTGCTATGGCATATGAAGGTATTGCAGTTTTGTTTGTTGTTGCTTTGGAGAGGGAGAGTGTTGTTGGATTTTTTTGTTTAGTTTAACAGACAAGTACAGCTTATATATCAAGTCACAGTGCCTTGCCTTCTTCTTTCCTCCCCACTGGTAAAAGTAAAGGATCTCTAACCAGCAGTGATTCAACCCATATTCTGGGGTGGTAGGAGAACATCCACCACCACAGTGAGTTGGTTTAACCAACCTGTATGATTTGGCAACATTTACAGAAAGAGTTTGTTTTGTTACAGAAATGGGAGATGAAAGAAATTTGAGGCAAAGCTTTCCTAACCTGTGTGCAAGTAGGAACCAGATCATTAGCAACATGCATCATGATAGCCAAACTCATACTATGTTGCTTGAAAACAGCCCAAAGCAGCACAGGTGCTGCTGTTTTGACAATAAAAATTGGAGAATAAAAAATATGTGAAAAAGAACAATGATAAAATTAAATAAGCAGCTCAGCAGTTTCAAAGGGAATTTAATTAAAATTTTATACAGTTCTTAAAATCAGAACTAAACAGATTAAGAAAATACTCAACTTGTTCCTACCTTACTTAATTCTTCATTTAAGTCTTCATTAAGAGAGTGAGTTAAGTAAAATATAAATCCTCTCTCATACGTATGTACTTCATCACCTTCTGAAACTAGTCTCTTTAAAACTTCAGTCATGGATAAACCTGACATTCTGTAGTATGGCAAAGCAAGGTGGTAATCCTTTGTGTCAAACCTAAAGGCAATAGAGAAGGAAAAAAACCCAAAACAAAACAACTAAAGGAAATACTTTTGCCATCACTGTAGGAACTAAAATAATACATCAAACAAGGTTGCAGACCCACCAGTATCTGCAAATACATAGCTCATATATATAGCTCAATGTAATATATTGTGTGCTCAATGACAATAAAGACAAGATACTGAAGAGATTACTAGATAAAGTTGTTCTCATAGAACGTAAAGATTTATATATGCAATACTAGTGTAAAATGATAAAGAATTGTTGATTTTAGTTCTAAGGTTATGTTACTGGAAACAGAAGCTCACCTATATCACTTTGTCATCTAGAACATACCTGCTGTAGCAGTCTCCTAAGGCAGCACAACTTTCTCTGAATGCTCTTAGAATTTCTTCTTTCTCATCTGATTTAAAGAAATGAGGGTCCATTATAGCTGCTCTGACCAGTAAGTGAGCCTCACTTAGCAGATGGATGCAACTCTCAGTTTTTACATTTTCATAGGTTCTACTATAATCTACCTAGAACAGACACAGGATATACTTAGGCTGCTGGCAAAAATTAAGAATACACAGGAACAGCGTTAACGAGGGCAGCAGCCATGTGAAATAGGATTAGGGGCTGTTCATGAGAAATACATTACTTTATATCCAGCAATGACATGCACCAGAGGTTAATTAACAGCACTTAATTTTAGTCACCAAACCACAAAAGCAGGAGATGGGCAATACCATTTCTCTGTAAAGCTGAATGGTTGAAACAGTGTTTATAATATATAAATTCCAACCAGGCTCTGACTCAGAATTTGTTCGTGATTTGATGCTGTCAGCCTTTCTGGAACTAGAGAGAAGGAGAAAAGTTGAGATTTCAGTCTCCAAATAAACATTATGGAGCCAAAAAACATCACAAACTTTGTAATTTAGATGTAAAAATACTGGCTAGGTCTGTAATGTCTATCTTTCTCAAACGCCAACGATAATCTTTGAAACAACACAACTGGCAGAAGAAACTGTATTTTATACGCAGAAAATAACAGTATTTTGAATCACCATTCTCCTTGCTGGGTTATCCTCATCGTCTCCTGAATACTGTTCTAGGCTTTAAGAAATACTGACTCAAGTAACTCTTCAATCAAGTATAGCTGTCCCAATTTTATTAATGAACTGACTTAAATAAATGTGATTTCTGAATAGCTGTTTTAGTATGGCCGTTCAGCTGTTTTATGAAAGGCCCTCAAAAAAGAACAGGAATAGCAGTTCTCACAAAGATGCCTCTAGCTACATGCACGCTTTAAGAACATCTTAGGCCAAAATATGATCCTTCTTTTGTCATGGATTACTATAGTGGTATTTGTAACTTTTCTTGGAAATAACCCTTAGCCAAATGTAAGATATTTTCATTTTGTGTTACAACAAGTTTTGTTATTTTAACATTCCTTATAAAACTTAAGTTTTTTACAAACTTGAGTGACTTACTTTGTTAATTTCAAGCATCTGTGACCCTATCCTTATTTCTTCTAATTCAGTTAATACAGTAAAATTGAAAAAAAAAATGCTTGGTTTCTTGTTCTCATGCATTAACTAGAAATTATCTCCACTTCTTCGAAAGGAACCTCTCTTCAACTCCAACACCCACAAACTGAGCACTGTACACAGAGCTACAAATAACTATCTCCCCAAGAGACACAAATCCTTACAGCATCTTTCTTGTAGGCTTTCTTCTTTCAGTAATATCTTCTGTGTCCGCCTTAGTCAAAAGAATTATATGGTTTTTGAAATGACAGATAGCTCTTGGTCCTATAAAAAGCTGCATTCTTAATGTGCAGACATCCAGTGTGACAGGCGGACAAGCCTATAAAGGGAAGTGATTGTTTTGTAATTTCAGTTAGCATGTAGTTTGAGTCTTTAAATGAAAAGTAAAAAAAATATGAAGAGGTAACCTTTTTCCAATGACAATAAAAACATTCACTGGCTTTACTATAAGTGCTTCACTTACAAATAAAAATAATCACAAAACTATGACATAAATCATTTAACAATGGGTAAACAAAAAATCATTTCACTCTTCAAAGCAACTGCAGTTTTAGCTGTGTCTCAAATTAACAGACCCTGAGGGAGATGCCTTACATGGAAAACAGTACAAAATAGTTTGAATTTGGCCAAGTTGTAAAAAATTACCTGACATGGTTATAAAAGTCTTGATTTCAGTTGGTAACTGATAGCAGAGACTGTTCAGGTGTCTACACTCCTCTTACAAAAACTGTTTTTTTCAAGGATACTTGAGAAACATCATCAGTTACAATACGGGAAAACTGTACCCTTCATTCAGATTTATGCAGCAAAGCATAGAATTTAGTTTAAAAATATACATGACTTTATAGCTTTTGATGTTTTTGAAAACACAGCACTAACGGCATGGATCTTAAACAGCAATAATGGATTGTGTCATTGAGACATTTGTAGACCACTAAAATATAATATGCCGCAGATTGAAGTACTAATTTCTTATGGTATTTTATTGGTTCAGCTAATAGAAACTAATGGGATTTCATAAGGAAACATAAGAAAACTAAGTGCCATACTACTGCCCCCACCTTCACGGTCGTATCAATATACGGATCCTCATCACGAGCTGCTGCTGCACTGCACCGCACTGTGAAGCACTGCAGGTTCTCACTAGAGGGAAATATGAAACCACAACGATGAAGGAAAAAAAAAGAAGACTTACTCAAGTCAAGTAGCCAAAGCTATAGAGAATCAGATCTTTCCCCTTTGTAGAAATGGGCCTTGAATGGGCATGCAAAAAAGACAGCAGAATAGAAAACCAGTAATACCACCAGCAAAATCATAAACCTTGTACCTTGTAATGACATGCAGGAACTGTGAAGTGAGAACTGCCTGCTCTGACTTCTCTGAATATTGGTAAGTAGAAATCAGTTCTACTAACTTCCCAACAGAGTAGAGATATCCAACATGAGGTAAAGAGAAAAAGCAGAAGAGACTCAGTAGTTCTTTCTTGATCTCAGTTTCCTCATGGGCTGTCATAGAACTTCCTAGATATAACAATAAGAAAAGCATTTTATATACCTCATAAATCAAAAGCTAGCAATTCCTTTGCAAGCCTGATACCTAAAATATACTATCAAACCTGCCCAGGCTGCAGACTGGTTTTGTTAGTAGCTAGTGAAGAGAAAAAGTACTATATGAAGACCAGTGTACACGCTGGATCAGTGCACAGGCTGCAAATGTGTATGCCATGTTATCTCATTTGGAGGCATTTCTAACAAAAGTGTGACTGTACCACTAAGTGAAGACATTCTAGAGGGGTCACCACATCTCTGAGTCCTGTCAGATTCATCACAAACATCCATGGACTGAATGATCAGCGTGATCTTGGACAACTACGTGTGAGCTGGGATGAATGGTCATCCAGAGCTGCAACTCACCAAAATAAGTGTCCTCAATTAAGGGAAAGAAAGACTGGAAATGGCATAATTTATTTATAGAGCTGCTTTGGCAGGTAAATGCTGTGTTCACATTCTACAGACCCTCTTGTCAAAGTAAATCACAAGAGAACATAAGACAGCTGGAGTAATGGCAAGTAGCTTGTTCTTTTGAGTCAGCTGCAACTTAAATGAGACTTCACAACTTATCAGGCAAACAATCCCAGACTGGGTGAGCAGTCAGTTATGACTGATAACATACAGCATCAAATTTTTCCGCAGGTCTGTTGTGGCTTGAGCTACTGTGATTAGTGAACCCCTAAATCTACATTCATCCCTTTAATTAAAACTTTAATTAAAGCCTGGAAGAAAGGTAAACTGTATCTTAATGATTATTAAAGTTTACTACTATGATTTCCACTGTTGACTAATGAGGGGCAGCCTAATATCTTCTAACACTGAGGATAATTTTGTTATGCAATTTAAAGAGTGACTGTTTTGTGACGTAAAATAACTCAGTGTTATAACTAGAGAAACTGATAAAAGCTGGTTTAGTCTCCCTCTTTTGGTGTGGCAAATTGGTACTTTAGTTCAAGGTTTATGCAGAACATGGAGAAACTAAAAGATTTTTTAATAAAAGCTCAGTTTAAATCATTTTCAAGGAAAGAAAGACTTAATTTAAAAACAAATGATACAGATACAGTCTACAGAACAGAATATACAAAGAAGCTCTTTCCATTCCCAGATCTCCTGTGACACAGGCCATAATGCATCCATGCATGTCCATATACCTGTCTGATATACAGGAAGCAGCTGAACAGAGTGCAGCTTTGTGTCTTCACAGAACCCAAAAGGTGACTGGTCAGGTGTAAAACACCTAGAGAAAAGAACCCAAAAGAACACCAGGACCCCTGTGAGAAATTATTATGAGCTACTCTGGACAAGTAAACAGCACGAGCTAAAAAGGCATAGCTGATGTTTTATACTCAACAACATGCACTCATACTACCAATGTAATTAGCATGGCAACGCCAAGAAGCTCACAGCACAGCTAGGGATAATATGCTTTAACAATGGGTCAGCCCTGAAGTGGTTAGGCAGTTAGACTGGATTATTGTTGCAGATCCCTTCCAACTGAAATATTCCACTCTATTAAAAAAATGGACTTTCTCTGGTATCACATTATTTCCTCAGCACAAAAACCACTCCAACCTTATAAAAACCCCAGATGTCAAAATGCTAGGATTTTAATTTCCACAAGATGTGAGCCACAGCTCATTTTGGTTTTGTGTACAGAATTAGCCTGTAAAGGGCAAAATACATTTGAAATACCTGAAAAGCAGATACCGCACTTGGAAGCACTTTGTGTCTTCCGTAGGTAACTCTGTGTATTCCAGTGTGATGGGTATCTCACATAGCTTACTTTCTTCCCCAAGCAGTTCTGCTGGCTTCTGACATATGATGAACTCATCTAATTCTAGCTGCAAAGTGTGTGTTGAAGGGCCTTCACCTTTCACACCTTAACAAAGAAAATGCTGTATTACCTGTTTAAGCCATTCCATTTAGCAGTAACAAAATTATATGACACAGTATCAATTAAATACTTCAATTACAGCTTCCTAACTAGCACTGGCTTCATCAAACCATGAGATTTTGAAAACACCTATGCTAGAAGATGAGAACAATCCTTTACTTAGGCTTCAACAATCTCAATACCCAAGAGTGAAGACTTCTGAAAGAACAGGTAAACTGTTCATTAGAAGGCAAGTCCAGGGCAACCTGTGCTGCAAATGGCTGCCCTCAAATAATGTTGGCTGAAGAGGTTTTCAGAAGGAAAAGGCAGCTACAATAGAAAGTTGTGTTATCTTAAACTCACTTATGGTCTGGAAAGCAAATCCTAACAGCACTCAAGAGTAATTTGAACTTTTCTTCTTAGTTTTTAGGAATAAAACCAGCTAGGTGCAGGATGCCACTATCTCAGTTAAGATCCATCTTCACTCAGTTAAGAACATTCCAGTTTATGCTTTCCCCTTTTTTTTGGTACAGTGTCCAGTTCAAAAATACCATTCTTTTGAAGTTTCTTCAATTATAAAGGAAGGATTTTCCTCAGGTTTGTTGGTATTCAGCTGATACTTACGGAAATGTGGGAACTGATTCCATAGGGACTGATTTTTTGCAATACACAGGAATGCAACCTATTTGGGTAAATCTATTTCTGCGATTTCTAGGATTCTAAGGCAAGCCCCTGAATAACACAAAGGACTGAAAAAAGAGAATTTGCTGACACCTTGTTTATGCAGGTTCTGAGTCTTGTTAATAACAGTTACAAGAGTGCATATGCACCGACACTGTGTAAGCCAATACACATGGTTGACTTAAAGGTTCATTACATGCTTCCTCCATTTGGCCTCCCACTGGCCCCTTAGAAGAGACACAGTTATCTGGGCAGTGACACTAACAATAATTTTTCTGAACATAGCACACTGAACTACTGCTGTTTTGGCCCATGGCAGCACCCCAAAACAGGGTCCTAATTCTATCTCTGTAGAGACTGCACTATCCTGAAAGCACCTGCAGAATGATGGCATATTTTAAGAGTTACCTCCAACAGCAGGTGGTATAACTCTCCATGTACTAGAATATCCAGCTGACAGTACTAAGATGATTTGCAAATATTTTCTGAAGGGCAATTCTCTACTTTTAGAATAACACAAACCAGAAGATTCTTGGAAATTTAAAAAAAAATTAAAAAATAATTTTTTTGTACTTACCTCCATCCACAGGCTTTTCTAGTGTACTAACGCTATGTGCACATTGCTCTGTCCTGTCTGCACTTTGCTGGACCACTTCCAGTTTCAGGATCAGAACATCCAGCTCTGTTGTTATGGCTATATGTCGGGCACAAAATGCAATTTCAGCAGGAATGAAGTTATCAATGTGTAAAATTAAGGAGCGTTCAAAGTCTAACACAGTCAAATTCTGGTTTATAAACAGGTATTTCAAACAGAACATGACTAGTTTATTTTTGCAGCCCACAAGAAGATCTCCATTTAGAGGACAGCATGAAATGCAGAGTGGAGGATCTGAAAGTGGCATTTCCACAATTGACATCTGTTCTTTTAAGGTTTCACTGTATGACTCTTCCATCTTGTGACCAACCATCCGAACACAAACACGAGAACTCCCTGCAGACATGCATCTCCAGTTCACGTATGCTCTGAGGAAAGTTGCTTTGCTTTTTTCTTCAATTGTCACCAGATAGTCTCCTTAAAAGAAAGCAGTGATAGTGATATATTATTATTATGGAATAGGTATAGGTTTTGAGCTCTTTACCTGCTACAGTACATTGCAAAGAACATCTTAAATTCTCAGCTCTTACATGAAATTCCAAAACCCATTTTCACCAATTTTTCTCCAATGAAATCTGGAGTACAAGTTTCTTTGTTGGGTGGAACACACTTCACGCATCATTAAAAATAAAAGAACTCCTAGGTCTAGGTCCAGACTAACTCCCAAGTGAATCCACTTTACAAACTGTGATTGCAGTCGAGGTGTTTTCCCCCTCAGAATATTCACTATGAAGAAAATGTTTTGTTCTCTAAAGAGCAGGGTAACTCTCAGACCCATGAAGAGCTGTGGGATCGACTGCACTGACCGCCCGACACGTGCTCCGAAATAAAAAAACAATAAAAAGGGCAAGACGGAAAAAAACTCAATGTGCTGCCTTTGCACTTCCCACTAGCCCGAGGACTCCCAGCCCATTGCATAGCTCTCAAACCAGTACATTGCAGAAGCTGGCGCTTCTGCAAGCGCCAGCCCTATGCCGCCCGGCCCGTGGCAGCCAGCGCTTTGCTGGGCCTTAATCCCCGCCATCCCCACCTCCTCCGGCCCGCCGCCGTCTCCCCCGGGCCCAGCTAGGGCCGGGCCGGGCCGGGCCGGCCCAGACCAAGCGCCTCCACCCGGCAGAGCCCCCAGGCCGCTCCCCGCTATGGAGGCGTCCGAGCCTCCGCAGCCGAGCGCTTCCAGGCCCGTCGGCGAAGCACACTGACCTGTCTGGCTGTGCGCCATGCGCAGGACGGGGCCCAGCGTGGCGAAGGAGCCTAGGGGCTCACAGCGACCCTGGTCGCGCAGGGCGAACACCTCCACCCTGCAGCTGGCCGCCGCGCTGGCCACGAACAGTACGTCGCGGCCGCAGCAGAAATGGGCCGGCTCTTGCTTGCAGGGCACTACTCGCTGCGACCCGAACGGGTGCAAGTTGTAAAGCTGCACCATGGTCCCTGAAAACCTGCACTCCCGCCGCGGACAGAGCACGGGAGCACCCCCGGCGAGAAGCGCCTGCGGCGCCCTTCGCTTCCGCACCGTACGGCGGCGGCGGCGCGCGCAGCGACCGAAGCCTCCTCTCGGCCCGCGGCGAAACCGGGTGGTCGAGTGGGGAAGTGAATGTGTGCAGCGCCGGGACTGCACTCGCCGTCAGCCGACGGCTCGTCCTGTGGGGCGCTGCACACACGTTTCTGTGTAGCGCTGGCGTAACTTCACGTTAGCATGGTCGGGCATCCTCTAGGATCGCAGCGCCCGGCGCGGGAAGCGACCTGGTGAAGGGTGTGATGCGCATGGAAGAGGTCGGTACTGAGTAGTACGGGACGGAGAAGGCTGTGCCTCACTTGTGGGGCCGGTGCCCTCTGGGGCCGTTCCGTCTTCTGAACCAAAACCGATTTTTGGTACAGCGGTTCGTTCTTTTAGAACTCTGTAAACTGTGCATACAGAGCATGCTCTACAGATGCTGGTTACAGGAACTTCTGAAAATAATTCACTTCAGGGTATGTTTAGTATATGTAACCCCTTTTTCTCTCTCCTGGTTTTCTTGAAAACAGGAAGGGAAAAAAAACAAAACTAAACCTCCAAAACCCCAAAACACTAGTTTCTTCTTCTCTTCGGGATTTAGGACTGAAAATTTGAACACGGCAGATCAGCAGCCAAGCGCCCTACAAGTTAACTGTTTCCAATGCATATAAAGCTATAGTCATTTGAACATACCCATTAAAGGATATCAATTTTTGGGGTGGGTTTTTTTTTTGGGGGGGTATATTTTTTTCTTCACAAGGCAAATGTAGGAACATAAAAAAAACCTGACAATATTCTTAAAGCAGGTAAGAAACTTACACATCTATTTTTTATGTGAATCAAATGCAGGAGGTAGTGGGGTGGGTTCCAGTTGTAGTTTTAAACACTTTTCAGTGATGAAGTTTTATGTCCTTAGCAAAGGTATTAAGTGCTAGTTCCATTTGAAAGTGTAATGGCATCTGCCATAACTAGTCAGAAGTACAGTATTAGTTAACTGTGGATACTTAAACATCTTCAGAAAATTTAGGTTCCTTTGGATCATGCAGACAGGCTTGGAATAGTAATAGTGTTACTAGTGCTATAACAACCTGAAGCAGAAGCGGTTTCCTGCTTGTGGAAAACCAAAAATAAAGGAGATGGAGAAGCTCTCAGAATGTGTTGGCATCCCAGGGATGCGTTTAGTTTCCCGAGTTTTTCTGCACATGACAAGATACTACAGAAATACACCATCTCAAATGATCTTTACTTAGCAAGGATGCACATACATAGTAAAGAAGAAAAAAAAAATAGAAAGTAGAACCTTTAAAACTTTATTTGAAAACAGGCAAACAAGCAGATGTTCTACAAACAGGGCTCTGCAATTTTTTTTATCTTTCTCTAAATTTTGCCAGACTTAGTTTTCTAAGTACTCATCTCCTTCTTCAGCCTCTGCTTCTACTGAGTCTATGCCGACTTCTTCGTAATCTTTCTCGAGGGCAGCCAGATCTTCCCGGGCTTCAGAAAATTCTCCTTCCTCCATTCCTTCCCCAACATACCAATGCACAAAAGCACGCTTAGCATACATGAGATCAAATTTGTGGTCAAGGCGAGCCCATGCTTCAGCAATAGCAGTTGTGTTACTCAACATACACACAGCCCGCTGCACTTTTGCAAGGTCACCACCTGGTACCACAGTTGGAGGCTGGTAGTTAATGCCCACCTTCAAGAAAACACATAAAAGTTTTCCGTATGAGTGCTAAGGCTCAAAGACCTATTTCTGTTATCAAAAAGCACCATGGTTATGAACAAATAAAACAAATGACAGTTCTTCTGCACTTCATCAAAATATTTAACAGAGACATTACAACATTTTGGAATGACTATTACCTCTAAATACTATGCAATTGCTAATAAACCAAACATTAAGCACTTAAAAAGCACTGCAAGTACCTTGAATCCAGTTGGGCACCAATCCACAAACTGAATGGTACGTCTAGTCTTGATAGTAGCAATAGCTGCATTGACGTCTTTGGGAACAACATCACCTCTGTATAACATGCAGCAGGCCATGTATTTGCCATGGCGAGGGTCACATTTTACCATCTGGTTGGCTGGCTCAAAACAAGCGTTAGTAATTTCGGCCACAGATAACTGCTCGTGATAGGCTTTTTCAGCAGAGATGACAGGGGCATATGTTACCAGGGGGAAATGGATTCGTGGGTATGGAACAAGGTTAGTTTGAAATTCTGTCAGATCTACATTGAGGGCTCCATCAAAACGCAGTGAAGCAGTGATGGATGAAACAATTTGCCCAATTAATCGGTTTAAATTAGTGTAAGTAGGGCGTTCAATGTCAAGGTTACGACGACATATATCGTAAATGGCTTCATTGTCTACCATAAAGGCACAGTCTGAATGCTCTAAAGTTGTATGGGTAGTTAGAATTGAGTTGTAGGGTTCCACTACAGCAGTGGAAACTTGTGGTGCTGGATAAATCGCAAATTCTAGTTTAGACTTTTTGCCGTAGTCAACAGAGAGCCTTTCCATGAGCAGAGATGCAAATCCTGAACCAGTGCCTCCTCCAAAACTATGAAAGATAAGGAAACCTTGCAGCCCTGTGCAGAGATCAGCCTATAATGGGGTGGAAAAGAGTGGTGAAAAAAGAAAGTATTTTTCAGAAAGCAGTATTAAAATAATCATTCAACAGCATTTCCTTATTAAGTATATTTTAGATTTTTATAATAACCCCCCCCAGCATTCTCGAAAGGTGGTCTTCCTTTTTTCCTGTGTGCCTTTTACTCAAAAGTACCAGTGCCACTGTGTAACTTTTTCTGAATAGGAGTATTTTACTATTTACAAATTGCTTTATTAGCTGTAATGCCATTTTAATTCTACTGTAAGCAAGAGCAGCTGAGCACCACTATGATAAATTATTATAAATTACAGCTAGGTTTTATCTTTAGAATACATTTGTTCCCATTCTGGCTTTCAGCAAGTATCAGATGCTGAAAACAAGTTATTTAAAATTACAAAAATTGAAAGACAATCACCATTTAATTCTGAATCACATGATCCTATATGAGTTTCTCAGTGCAGCATCAGCCATTTTATTTTTTAAGTATTCAACCAAAATCTGAGGTCGAGGGTACTATTTTGCACCACTTACAATGGGCATGAAATCAAACTGAAAATTACAAATAATAAAGTGTAACAGCATTGTCACACTTGTTTAAGGCTTTTATGTTTCTGAGGTATCCTTAAAATACTTTCAAATACTGGTATTTCAAAACCTGGGGGAGAAAGTAGTAAGTTTTATTTACTACATTTTTATTTAACCGGGGGCAGGAGCAAGAAGACTGAATTTTAAACAATAAACTATGCACAAAATTCTCAGGGAAGAAACCACATCAAACCACTGTTATAGACAGCTGTAGAGCTGTACCAATTATTTTAAATATGGACTTGCAGCATGAATTCGTACCAGTTTGCGAATGCGGTCTAGCACTAGATCAACAATCTCTTTTCCAATGGTATAATGGCCTCTGGCATAATTATTGGCTGCATCTTCTTTCCCAGTAATGAGCTGCTCAGGATGGAATAACTGCCTATATGTGCCTGTACGTACTTCATCTGTAAGAAAACAGATTACCACAACATAGATTCAATCTGTTCAGTTCTGTGTATGCCACTTAGTGACTACGCACTAAGCGCTCATGTCGAAAGAATGTAGACAGCATCCTTGACTACAAACAGCTTGCCTGACTAGACTAGAGAGCTGGCACAACTTCAGCTCTTTTGTTTAGGGGAAGGCATCAGCCATTCATAGAACAGTATTTGTTCCTGAAAAGAGGTTCACTCAGAAAATCTACATTACAGGTGCAGACAAGATTCCAGATAGCAACTGAATGAAACTCTGTGTGCAGTGCAGCACCCTCGAAAAGTTTTGCAGTTTTCCAAATGTTGTTACCTGTAGAACATAATTTCTTTCAAGTAACAATAACCTCAAATGTCAAAACAGCATGCAGACACACATCTTTCAGACTATAGGGTTCTGATCACACACACACAAAAATAAAAACCACCACCACCACAAAAAAACAAACCAAAAACCAAAACAAAAAAAAAGACTCTTTACTTTTATACTGAAGGTCTTTAATGTTGGGTACATACCAACAACAGTTGGCTCTAGGTCCACAAACACTGCCCTGGGAACGTGTTTACCAGCTCCTGTCTCACTGAAGAAAGTGTTAAATGAATCGTCTCCACCTCCCACAGTTTTATCACTAGGCATTTGACCATCAGGCTGGATTCCATGTTCAAGACAATACAATTCCCAACATGCATTGCCAATCTGTACACCAGCCTGACCAACGTGGACAGATATGCATTCACGCTGCAAATTGAAAACAGAACAATGAGATATGGATCTACCTGTCTTCCAGATTTTCTTCTCATGATAACTAGTCATCTGCGGGTTGTATCTTTCCATGAGCTTTCTCTGCTTCAGTATCCCCTGGTTGTTCTTGAGTGACTACAACTCATCAAATTGTCTGCTGCTTGCATGATTCTACTTACCTTAGCTGACTCGTGTGAAAGTACTGGAAGATCTTGAATACAACAGTCTCTATGAACACATAGGTGAATATAGATTCATCCTCCCTTACCATGCTGCATGGATATTTTAATATTCTGCTTAGTCTCTTTTTCACCTTCCTTTAGTCTTGGGAAGACTTTTTTAGAGCATTTGCTAATTTCCTTTATTTGCTGCCAAATCATGTACTGCGCAATAATTCCTCCTATATAGGACCAATTAATATGTCTTCCTTTACAATAAGCAAATATCTAACCCCTGGCAATTCATACATATTTGGGTTCCTTTCTGAAACCATCCAGGAGTCCCAATCAGATGTCACTTGCCAACTTTTAGCCAGATACTTTGATTGTAAGCAACTGTGCTGTGAATGCTTGATCTCTCAATACCTTGCTTCTGTCTTACACCTGAGATGGAAATGAGCTCTTCTTCTAGCTCACTGTTATAGCACACCTAGGAAAAAGCTGAGGTGGAAAAACCCGGGCTGTTCTTTCCTTGGTAG